GTGTGGAGAACTTCTATAATACCCAAGAGGACTGACAGTATGTATCAGAAGTCAGCAAACTGTGGCCGTAGGGCCATTTTTATAAATAAAGCTTAACCAAGTCTTTTAGTTTCTGTTGTTTTGTCTGTGACTACTTCCTCAATACCTTGGAGATATTGCAGGCTAGATTCCAGACCACCACAATAAAGCAAGGCAGATGAATTTTTTTTGTTTCCCCATGAATATAAAAGTTATGTTTAGGGATGGTTGGGTGGCTCAGTCGGTTAAGCGACCGACTTCGGCTCAGGTCATGATCTTGCGATTGGTGAGTTCTAGTCCCACAATGGGCTCTGTGCTGACAGCACAGAACCTACAGCCTGCTTTAGATTCTCTGTCTCCCTCTCTATTCGCCCTTCCCCTACTCATGTTCTGTCTCTCAGTGTCTCTCAAAAATAAATAAAAACGTTAAAAACCAATTTTGTAAAAATTAACAAAATAAAAGTTACGTTTACACTGTACTGTTGTCAGCTAAATGTGCTACAGCATAATGTCTAAAAAAGTGTGCATACCTTAATTAAAAAATATTTTATTGCTAAAAGAATGCTATTGTCATCTGAGCTTTCAGCAAGTCGTAATCACTGATCATCATAACAGATATAACAGTAATGAAAAAATTTGAAATATCTGAAGACTTACAAGAGAGACAAAGTGAGCAAATATTCTTAGAAAAATGGTATCAATAGACTTGGTCAACACAGGGTTGCCACAACCTTCAGTTTGTTAAAAAAAATACATTATGAAACACATAAAGTGAAACACATAAAGTGAAACAACATTATGCCTGTACAAGTGCAAAGTTGAGTAGTTGCAAAACAAATCATTTTGCCTACAGAGCCTACCTAAGATATTTACTGTCTGGCCCTTTTTAGAAAATCTGCCAGCTCCTAATCGAGACTTCCATAATGCACTTCTTTATTTATTTTTTTACCGAAAAGATCCCTCAGATTTTATGTCCTAGATAGTGCATTGGTTTTCTTCATTTGTTTTCTTCATTTTTTTCTTTATTATATTTTGTCTGTAGGTTATTTTTTTTGTTAATGTATATTTACTTAGAGAGAATGCATGGGGTGGGGGGTGGGTGGGTAGGGACAGAGAGAGAGGGCAGGAGAGAATCCCAAGTAGCTCCAGACTGTCAGCACAGAGCCCAATGTGGGGCTTCATCCCATGAACCCTGAGATCATGACCTGGGCCAGAATCAAGAGTCGGTTGCTTAACCAACTGAGCCACCCAGGTGCCCCTTGTTTATAGTTTTAATTAATCTTTGTTTTTGCCTCATTCTCCCTTAGCACCCACCCATAGTTCTTCTTTATAGATCTTGGTGTTAAAAGTCATTATTTCCTGTTTTAAATGTGTTTCTATTATTTTAAATATATTATAGAAAATTTTAGGGGCGCCTGGGTGGCGCAGTCGGTTAAGCGTCCGACTTCAGCCAGGTCACGATCTCGCGGTCCGTGAGTTCGAGCCCCGCGTCGGGCTCTGGGCTGATGGCTCAGAGCCTGGAGCCTGCTTCCGATTCTTTGTCTCTGTCTCTCTCTGTCCCAAAAATAAATAAACGTTGAAAAAAAAATTAAAAAAAAAAAGAAAAGAAAATTTTAAACATGTAAGAGTAGAGAGAATTGTATAATTAAATCCTCTACCCATATAACCTTCACCCATTTTCTTATACAGTTATTATGTGGAATGACACTGCTCTCATTTCATCTAGACCCCTCCTTAGGATTATATTGAACCAAATTGTAGACTTTATTTCATTTCTGAATATTTCAGTATGTTATCTCTAAAGCAATAAGGGCTTTCCCTTTTTTATTGTACCTAGAAAATGAGTATTATTTTCCTTTGCTAAATTGGTTGCAGTGACATGTGATATTTAGCTATTTTACCCGATGTGAACAATTTTATTCAAGTGTTCTGATCATATTATAAATTAGCTTCATTTTTAAGTGTGTATTCTGTTTTGTTTTGAGGAACCTACACATTGTGAGGCTAACCCTGATTTGATCTTTGAAGATATGGAAGTTATGACAGACTTTGAATTACATGTACTTTGTAAACAGTATCGACATATTAATAGCTTCCAGTTAGACATGGACTTGATTTTAGATTCTGGAAAATTCCGAGTTTTAGGATGCATCTTGTCTGAATTGAAACAGAAGGTAATAAAGAAGAATGCTATTCCTCTTACATTTTTACAATTACATAAACTTTTTAAAAATAATTCTGACATGATTTGACTTTCTTGAAGTTGTAGCCTGTGTCTGTTCTACATTTTTCTAGAAATTAATGCTTTGACCATTTAGGGGATATATTTGGGGATATGTTTTCCTGATTACTTTTCCTCTGTTGAGTATCAGAAAAAAAAAAAAAAAAAAAAGAAGCTAGTAGAGTTGCTTTTAAAAAGTAATCTTGTCATTTCATAATGACATAATGACATAATTGGTTATTTGTATGATTGCCTCTAAATTATTTTGAAGATATTTTGAAGTTAACTACCACTCTAGTTTCTATGTGAAATAGTGTACATTTTTAAGATCATAATCCAAATAGATAGTACTTTTGTAGTTGTTTTCATTAACTGTCCTTAAAAACCAAAACTAAGAATTATGTTTTAAGTCTGAAGTTCAGAAGTTAAGATAATTTATTTATATATAAATTTGTTATATCTATAATAAGAAATTTACCTTAGCTGTGACTACTTGATTTTTATAAAAGAAGCAGTTGATCATTATATGCTTATATCATTTTATTTTTCCATGTATCTAATCCATGTATGTATTTTCACAGGGTGATAGAGTTGTATTATTTAGCCAATTTACCATGATGCTGGATATTTTAGAGGTTCTCTTAAAACATCATCAGCATAGGTACCTCAGATTAGATGGAAAGACTCAGATTTCTGAAAGGTTCGTATACTTCACTTTAGTTTCAGAAAAATCTCTGTCCACTTCACCTTCAAATAAGAGTAAATGTTAGAATTTTAAATGTGTATAGAGCATTTGAATTGTCTTACTTTGAGTCTTTCATGTGGTTATTTGAAATCATTGTGTTAAGATAAGGAAATTTTCCTTTTTTAAGTTTTTGATCTGAATTGCATAGAAATACATTTCAGTATCTAATTGGAACTGTGTACCTTAAAATGTTTTTTCCCCTTTAAAACTCATTCAAAGCCTTGAAGCACCTTACATTAAACCAAGATTGTTTTAAAACCTTGGGCTTTTTGTATTTTAACAGTAATTGAGTAAGTTTGGTTGTTTATTTTTTTAATACCCAGAGATTAGAAAGATTGTCTTCAAAACAAAAAAAGAATGTTTTTAATAGTATGTTTACACTTCGTTATTTCTTTTGGTTTGCTTTTTATCAGCCAGGTTTTTTTTTTCCCTGCGTTAAAGATAGAAGTCATCCTAAAAGAGAACAAACACCCTGCTAGTTTGATCTTGAGATCCTTGGTTCAAAGGTATCAAGAGCAGCTGCTGACAGACTTCTGAGAAGACTAAAGCTGACGAAGGCCAGAGATTGAAAAGCCATACACAAAATTTAGATAGAAGTCATTAAACAAAGGAGAAAATAATCCATTAGGATTACTCAAACCTGAATAGTTGAATTAAAGTGAGAGTTAGTAGGAAGATACATGGTATGGAAAAGAAGTTAGTGAATCGAGAGGGTCTTCCAGTAAAATAACTGCAGGAAAAGTGCTTTAGTGCCAGGAGCATGTATTTACATCTTCAAGGTTTTTTTCCACGTAGTGTGATTGTTTTCAATTTTAATTGTGTACATTTCAGTGAAATTTAGCCTAATATATTTATCTGACAGGATTCATCTAATTGACGAGTTTAATACCGATATGGATATCTTCGTGTTTCTGCTGTCAACAAAAGCTGGTGGCCTAGGAATAAATCTGACTTCAGCAAATGTTGTTATACTTCATGATATTGACTGTAACCCTTACAATGACAAGCAAGCAGAAGATAGATGCCATAGAGTAGGCCAGACTAAGTAAGTGTTTTGAATTGAAATTTAGTTTTAACCAAATGCCTGTTTAATTTGTATAGAAGAGTAGAATATAGTCTGTCAGTATTCTGCTTCAGTTTTTTTTATTTTCGGCAAAGCCTGGCTGCTGATATCTTTCATACCAGCAACGCTGAATATGACATATCTCACTATGTCATGTATTCACTTTCTAATAGTTAAAATAACCTCGCACCCCACCCCAATTTTGATGAAAACAAAATACTATCAATGGTTCAGCTCATTTGAAAAATATTAGTAACTGAAAGGCTTTTTTTGTTAGACCATTTAAGAGCCAGATAGACGTAATAATATATATACTGTTGATACTCTATTATCCTTTAGGAAGCACATTATCTGAGTTGTAGATATTTTAGGTGAAGGATCATTTTGACATTGGAGGTGAAAATACCTGTAATTCAACTCTGCTGTCAGATGTGAGTAGCCAGTAATCATTATTTTCTCTGTGGAGTATATGTTTCCAAAAGACATTGATAAAATCATTTATGAACCAAATATTTATCAGTGCCTATTATGGGACTAAAACTTCCTGTGTAATCTTTTTACTTTTCTATACTTCCTTACTTTTTGTACTGAATTATTTATTGGAACCTGATGAGCAAAGCATGTTCCTTTTTAAAATGGAATATCTCTCTGAACCCAGACTGTTTGTTGAAATAAGTTTTACTAGTAATTTTTGGAGTACAGATATCTTTCTGTCTTCTTGGATCAATAAGAAAGGATGTTTAGAAGTTACACGCTCAGAAAATGTTAATCCCATGTAATATGAATAAAAGGAAATTTAAAGTTAGGGATCTATTTATTATGCAATCTTCACATTATTCTTACCTCTAAGATGTTTTATATAGTTTATATATATTCAAATTTTATATTAAGTAACCAATGGACATATTTTCTATTTTCTTTAGAGAAGTACTAGTTATAAAATTAATAAGCCAAGGGACAATTGAAGAATCCATGCTAAAAATTAACCAACAGAAATTGAAACTAGAACAAGATATGACCACAGTAGATGAAGGTAAGTTGTTTGTAAGCAGAAACTTCGGTATTTGTATGAAAAATAGCAGTAGCAAGGAATTAGCAAAAATGGCCTGAATCCTTACCTGGCATACAGTATAGGGATGGCGTGGTAGAAGATAAGCATACTCATTTCAGAAGTACTACAATAACTAAGATTATTTCACCAAAACTGATATAAATGTTTGATTTGGGGAAATTCTTTTTTTTTAATTTTTTTTTTTTTTT